CACCTTCCTATGTGGCTTAGACTAAATGTTGTGGATTTCATCGACTGGTGCGATGTTTTGGTTTGATCGCCACTGGCTAGCTCTTTTCCAGCCTAACCCTATATCAGCTAACACTGCCCGTCGAGGAAGGCGATGACTAGGCATACGTAACACATGTCCTAACCATCTCAGTCGATGTAATTTCACAGCTTCATCGATTGATTTCCTTTCCAACTCACCTAGAACTCGACGCCTAACCTTAATATTGTTCACCTTATTATGCCACTTCACACGGGAGATAGAGCGCAGGCACTTATGATCAAAGACAGCTAATCTTTTCATGTCTTCCACTCTCAATGGCCAGGTCTCGCAGCCATAAAGGGAGGACGGAGCGAACTGCTGAGCAGTACACTCGCCCTTTGGTAGAAAGCCGGATATCGTTTCTACTCCAGAGACGGGGTAAACTGGCATATGCGAAACTAGCCCTCTATATTCGTACTCAGCTGAGGTTTCGTCAGAGATCAACCCGTCGGCACTGGCTGATGGTACTTCCCAAATAAGTGAAGCTGTCAACGTGATCTACCACTTCACTTCTTATTTTTAAACTAGGCGTCGCTGTAGTCCAGTCCTGTAACATCATCTTGCATTTGGCGGGAGCGAATCGCATGCCAAACATTCGTAGATTGCAGCTTAGTTCAAGGTGTTCAAAATACTCTGCATTTCGTCAGCGTCTTCGCCTAGAAGGACTATATCGTCTGCATATTCTAAATCAACGAGATTATTCCCTGGTAGCAAGTCAATCCCTGAGTCGCTGAAGTCACTTATGGTTAAGTCCATTAACACTTCTATGATGACGTTGAATAGAAACGGGGATAAGGGGCATCTCTGGCTGTCGGACACTACAAGTCGTCACCAGTTCAGATGACAACTCGCCGTAAGCCCTCACCTGGCTGCATGAGCTCGAGTAGAGCGCCTTGATCAGTGCAATGTATTTTTTTTCTCGGCATTCCCTTTACAGTCAAGCATCGTCAGAGTACCCCTTGGTCGACAGAATCGAATGATGCCTTTAGGTCAAGAAACATAATGGTTGTTGGATGCTGGCTAGTACTCGGATGTTTTGAAGTGATTCGACTATAACTAAACTCAGTCATACCAGATACACTGCTGATGAACTCATTCCGAATTGAACAAAGCTGCCATTTAGTGTTTCTACTATCTCATATCCTCCATGGACCAGTAAGGTATATTTAGTTGTAACAATTAGCAATTATGCTTACTGTCTTGATTATCATTTTTATGCAATCATGAAAATGACATATTGTCATATTGAATAATTTCGCTTGTCAAAGGAAACAGTGATGAAGTTTTCCGTTGCAGTGTGTAAATACATAATTATGATTGTAAAACGATTCTTGTCAACACATATCAGTCGGTCTTATGAATCGGACAATCTAAACTCTGGATTGGTACTGAATTAAAGCCTCGGATTATATTGACAAGTCATTCAGACTTTAGCTAACCACAACGCTCTTGGTAATATATAGAATCTTCGTCATATCTTCATATTGTCAGTGCTAACTAAGTTATCAACTTAGGCAATGTATTAAGAAGACGTAATTTGTCTGAATCGTGTAATGTTGTATTTGCGCAACACATTTCGAACAATCTGATAACACACGGACTTGTCATAGGGATGTATATATATGAAATTAATAAAGAGTTAAGAGGTGACAAAATAGACTTAGGTCAAGTTAAAAGGACATATTCAAGGTCAAAATCACAATGAAGATTACCAAACCAAATAACAGAGGTAGAAGTACATCTGCTATGGTATCAAAACAAAGCTTACCGAGGAAAGCAGTTTAATGTGATGACGAATTGTTTTTGAACGCATGGAGGTGGTTTAAACTTCCTAATTGCCAGCCATGGCTTCCACAAACTTAAGGACACGCCCTCCCCTAAACACATTTTATAGATAGGTTTAAAAGATGTGTTAACGTCAATTTTATGTCCTTTTTCTATAATATGTTTCGCAATAGAGGAGCTAGGTCACCTGTTCTCACCATTGATGGGTTCTGAATATTCTATTTGCTTCTGGAGCTATTCAGGAATATGCTCTGAAGCCCTCCCTTACTTGCAGATATCAATGAGTCCTCCCTCCTATGTATGTGTGCCCACACCTACATTCAAATTGGTAAATACATTGGGATGTGACATCATTTTTCGCATATACAAAGGACTTAGATGGATGGATAATTTGGCTTAACATTCTCTATTATTATTATATCAGCTGCATGAAAAGTCTTTTTAACAGCAGCATTCAGTCTTCGTCTAGTTCTCAAGCTGCTATGATGCCCCATGTAGGGTAGGTAGCTTGATGTACACGTCTTTATTAGGGGCGAGTTGGATAGTGGGTCTTGGTGTTCTGAATACTTTATTACTCCTGATAAACTTGTCTGGAAAATTATTATCAACCAGAACTTTTGTCAGTTTTCTTTCTTCTTCATCAAGTGTGTCTTCAGTGCATATTTTTGTTGGATTCATTTGAAGTGGTATACTCGGAAGAAGTACATACAAAAGTACAGAGATAAAATGCAATGAAATAACAATATGAACGAGGATACGTGAGGAACAGAATAATTAGATGGAGGTCTTCCTTATCGACGAAATCATCTTCAGAGGCTTTACAATCACATTTGTATTTACCGAAAATGTTTAGTAGTCCATTATTGTGCAATTGGAGTGAAATAACTGATGAAAGTACTTGAAAGAGGCTTTAATGTAAAAATAAAAGCTATAAATTACGTAATCTTCAACGTCATAAAGGAAGAAAGCATCAAAAATTTCATATGGTTGATATTGCTATTGATTGAGAATAAAAGTAGTTGAGTTTCAATTTAACAAGCGTGAAGAGGGTGAGAAAATGAACAAAAGGAACATATGAAAGTGATAATAGGGAATAAATTATTCAAGTAGAAGTAATATTAGAAAATAAAATGTTTACAGAAAACGACTAGTAAAGAGATTAAGAACATAGTAGAATGAGAAGCTAGACAACCTTTTCGCCATACACAAATTCTAAAGTCTAAAATTTCTTGTGCCGCTAGGTCTTACCTTGTAGATAATCTTGAAAGATGACTTGGGTGTGGGAGTGTTGCTTGAGTTCACCAGGTGGCCAATAATTGCACTGTTCTCTTACTAACCATCCCGGATAATGTTCAGAGGTGCGTTTGGAAAGTATTCACATTATGCGGTCAATATAGCTAGCTAGTTGCAGAGGGACAAGTGACACGTATTGACGTGGCCCAAAGCGGCCGCTTATCAAACACATACATCCACGAATCATTTTTCAGCTGGAAGGACGGATCAGTAGCTCAGCCGAAAAGAAGGCTTTACTCAGTGATCTGGATAAGCGGTTTTTCAGGATCTCAGCTGCGGTATCACCTCTAAATTCAGTGTCCATAAACAGTAGTTTCTTCGTCACTGTCCAGGATCTTTCGAGCTTTTGTTTTATTTTCATTTGTTTCCCTATGAATCTTGGGGGATATCCATCCTCCATGAGGACTTGCCTGAGTCGCCCTAGTTCCCCGTCGATTGTATCATTGGAACATATCTTCCTTATTCTTGAGGATAAGGAGTGGATCAGATTTCTCTTTCTTCTCAAAGTGACTGACCCAACTATGAAAATTCCTGTATGAACTATCCATTTTGGTTTCGTGTAGATTGATCTTTGTAGAGAACCGTCAGATCCCCTTTTTAATGAAGCATCCAAAAAAATGGAATTCTGACGTGAGCTAGGTGGCGTGATAGTAGCTGTTGAACTCCTTAGTTATAATTTTGATCTTGGTATTCTTGTCAGATGTGATAAAAGTACCATCCATATATCTTTGATACGTACTGCAGCTATCGATAGTGGGTGGTAACATACTATTTTCTGAACTTGTTAAGAAGCAGTGTGCAAGTAAAGGACCCAATGGCGACCCAATCGCTACTCTATTTCTTTGTCTATAGAGCAAGTTGTTGAACTAGAACTGGACATTGGAAGTGCATCTGACTAGTCGTTCGTTTAAGGAATGGATCGGAACACCCACGTCCCCGTTATTATCCCCGATGAGTTTGCATATAAAACAAATAACAATGACAATTTCAACCTTATCAAATTTCTAACTCTTTCTTCCTTTGTGTTTATCAGTATTACGTAATTTATAACTTTTATTTTTACTTTTGAAGCTACTTCTGAGTAATTATATGAGTTATGTTAACCCCCACCATTAATCAGTAATGGACTACTAAATATTTCTGAGCGTTCTAAATACAACTGTACAGTCTCTGAAGATGATTTCGTCTGTAAGGTGAATTTTCTTCGCTGAATTGTCTTTCATATGCTGCATGACTCAATGGGTATTTTCGGTGATAAGATAAAGATCATTGACTTCACAGACTGGTGTGATTTTTAGTTTGACAAACACATAATCGTTTACATCCTATTCCTACTTTGGTTATCAGTACTTGTTGAGATTCACAGCGGTTCATCATACATAGCACAAATTCAAAATATCTCAATCGATGGAGCAGTGTAACAATGTCGAATGTTTCATTTTTATAAACTAGCACTTTACGCTTTACTTCATTATTATTCTCCATATTTCTGGGGCTGACATGAAAGCTAAGTTGTGGTGAAGTGCCTTCAAACTTTCCACATCTTCACCTTTCAGAGACTATGCTCTCGACTTATAAAGTAAGCAAGAACAAGCTACTGTGAAGTGCACACGAAATCTAGTGACGCTTCATTTCGTATATCTGTCGATTCTCTATTCAAGCAGTGCCACCAGCTGATGTTTTTCGCTTAAACCGCTTCAACTACTTAAAACTGTAAAAAGTAGTTTGATTCTTTGCTGAAAAATAGGATAATTAGTTCACATTCACCAAACAGATAATACGAATCATACTGATATATCAATATTGATATTATTTTCAAAATTATTCATTCCATATACATATGTATGTATTTACATAATAAAATGGCTTATAACGACGATGAGAATGTTGTTTGTAAATGCCTGTGTTTCTACTTAATCGATAAAACGAATAAAGATAATGCACAGGCTAAAAAATTGACAATGGAAGAGGAGAAGTTTTTAATACAGAAAGCTAAAGCTTTATCGAATTTTCTATTCCTAAAAGATGATATTTACGCTATTGAAACAGTTAAATTCTATGATAAAAAAGCGATAATGCAACGTCAACCATTACAACAAGATACTGAGTATTCAATGAATCAAATATTTCCAGAAGAATTACAACTAAACTCACAAACAATACAAGCATATATAGAAAATTATAAAAAACAATTAAATCGTTATGCTTTACTAACTGTTCTAAACAAAATTATTGAACCTATAGAATAATGATAATAAATGCGTCTTTGTTACATTTTCGACAGCCTTTCTTATTAATTGAGCTTACTGTCGACAAAGTGAGGATTAGGAGTAAATCGACTTCATTATTTTTATGAAAGAATATGTATATATATTATCTTTTTTGCATGGGTAAATAACTAACCAAAAACACCCAGCACGAATTACCATCAACGGGAGAGATTTGACAGAGGTTACCTCCTTCACTTATCCAGAAAGTATCGTTTCAACCACAGGCTAGCGGAGCGGATGAAGATGTTAAAGCCAGTCGGAATCCGAAAGGCAAGATACGTCTTCATGAAACTGAAACCATTTGGGAAATCTTCTGGAATCAGCAGCCAGCCTCATGAAAAAGATAGCGACTCTACTCAACACAAATGTGAATTCAATCAGTCAGTTCTCCTATATAGTTTAGATACTTGGCCAGCTTTTCACGGAAGGATTCCCACCAGGTCACTGGCAACTTTTATCTACAGTTGCCCTCATCTCCGGCTCCACACTAAAGATCAAATGGCTGGCAGGTCTGAAAGAATTAGCATCAAGAAGCTTTTGCTTGGAACAAACCAACAGGCGAGAGCCGATTGCTAAACAAATATATTGGAGAACATTGAGATAGACGGGCTTACGCCAATGAGAAGGCCGTCGCATAACATTGCGCGCTAACCAGGCAATCACTCGTGTGGAATCCCAATGCAAAACGACGAGTGTGTCGTCAGTGCTAGGGTGACGTGAAGGAGATGGTGTGGCGAGTCGGAGGTTGGCGATCATATACAGTCGTGGAGAGAGCCAGAGGAAGAGGACAACAGAAAATAGAACAAAGTGTAGGTGTGTTGTTGAAGCCCATGTTTCAGTCGGAACCTAAGGGAATAATAATACATGGATATATTTTCGCCAGTCAAACTGATGTCTCTATTTAACAGTATTTGGCAATGATATGAGGAAATGGATATCATAACTTTTGATAAGTGATTTATGTACCTGGATGAGAGGACGAAAAAGACGTCCAGTTTGTGATCGGTAAAATGTTTCTCATAGTTTTTGAAGTTTGTATCATAAATGATGTTAGCTTAGTCTTCTTTTAAGTGTGATTTTGTTGGTTTGTAGGCGACATTTTCTCTTCAAAAGTTCAGAACTCACTAACCACATGATATGACGATTTTTGAGTATAAAATCTATATATTCATGAAAATAATAAATTGAAATGGCGCTAGGTAAGGAGGGACAATCAATCGATGAGGCTGTGAAATTACATCGACTGAGATGGTTAGGACATGTGTTACGTATGCCTAGTCATCGCCTTCCTCGACGGGCAGTGTTAGCTGATATAGGGTTAGGCTGGAAAAGAGCTAGCCAGTGGCGATCAAACCAAAACATCGCACCAGTCGATGAAATCCACAACATTTAGTCTAAGCCACATAGGAAGGTGTAGATTTCCAGATTGGTTGGGGTCCTCGGGACGGTAAACACCAATGGTGGCTGGAGACAATCGGTGATATAGCTCAAAATCGTTCTCAATGGCTGGTGCAGATGCATCCACTCCTTGTGACTTACGATTTCAAATGAAACTATAACGCTCTTCGTTACTATTATTCCTATGTCTCACATCTCTATTGACTGTCTCTTCTATGCATTTCTTCTACTTTCTTCTCTTGGTTTGTGTGGTACAAGGGGGGAGTGTGGCGACTTGAACTGTTGAACATCGGTGCAAAGTTCTATGCCGAAAACAGACAGACAGAAAGATGCACCTACCGGGGTTCAAATCAAAGATAGCAATCATATGACTAGGGTAAGGAGGAAGGTGTTTGACAAACCTCTTTCGAATATACATATAGTTTAAGTTTTGTTGACGCCTAACTAGTGCTTTCGCTAGTTATAGGCGGTGAAAAACTGACTTTCTCTGGAGGGTAAATTTAAGCATGTAGACGATTTCGAAGGAGGAGTCAGGCAGGGTTGAGTGACATATCTCAATATTTATACCTTATCATCATTTAATGGCTTTTTAAATAAAAGAAACACTGTTCAGCTTGAAAATAATATTTACTATAATAATATTCGAAAGAAAGTAATTATAATACAGAATGGAATTCTCAGCATTTTTTGCAATATTACATGATTTACTCAAAATATGAATAAAATTAAAACAAAATTTTCCAGAGGATATTGTCTACGTTTACGGTATAATGTCAAAAATATTCGAAGCACAAAATGAGAATAATAAATATGATAACAATGAGTTTGTTTCAAACAGTATTGTCTATTCAGGTTGAAAATTTTAGCGTGTTATGCAGTATTGAATCCAATGTCCTGTTGATACACTTTGGTGAGGGGAAACACAAAATTAACAGTTATACCACAGGTTAGATGATGTTCACACTTATGAAAAAATAAACAAATAAAAACAAAAAGTTGAGAGGATTATATATATATATATATATATATATATATATATATATATATAAGAAGTACATTAACAATAAAGGTTGATATTGTAAAGGTGGAGGAAATGGTTTATTTCCTAGTGAAAAGAAGGTTGGTTAGTTCATGCCTAATACTATTTTCATCACATAAAGTACGTGACAAATATGGTACAGTGAAATTTTTATACTTAGACGTATGTGCATAAAATCTTCTGAAAAGACTTCTTGTTTTACCTGAGGAGACACAAAGTTGGAGCCGCGGGTGCTGTGGTAAATGCTCACAGTCTGACAAAACTCCTTTAACAAATTTGTTGTATGACATCAAGTGCCTATCAGTGACAATATCAACGATCGATATCGCCCAATGAGATACCACCATTCACCCTACTGACAGTCTTCAGAGTTCTATGAAGTATGACATAGTCTTTTTTTAAGCAATCCAGGAAAGAATAAACAAGGGTGAACAGTAAACACGAGTAGGTAAGATGCACGAGTTATGAAGTCCCTGGAAAGAAACATTCCTCCAATTGTTTATTTAAGGATAGGGTACTGTGGTGGTAGAGTATTGTTCCATTGTGGATAAAATTTTATTTTGATAAAGTCACACATTGTTGTACAGTAATATTTACTGATGACGAAGTTTCAAGCACAAATTATTACTGCTCATAATCATATCAAGACACTCACTCACACAACTTTCTTGCTTCGTTTATATACATGAGTAAAAATTGATGTTTAGACATTTGAATAAAAATCAATATAAGACGTACGCGAAACAGAAAGAAAGATAAAGTGGATTCGGACTCAAAAGCTGAAGGACCAGGCTACAAAGGACATCTTCATTGCAAGCATAAAGGACAAAGTCGAGACACAAATCAACACTAGCGAAGAGGTCGGCGTTGAAAAGCACTGGAACAACTTGAAAACGGTGTGGAGCCAAACCTGCATAGAAATTCTAGGCAGAAAAAAGAGACAGGACAAACAGTGGCTCACTATGGACACTTGGAAACTAATAGAAGAGAGAAGGACAGTGAAGCAAAAGATTATCCAGTGCACGACGAGCAACAAAAACAGGAGCTGAATGCAAGCTACAATACACTGAACAAAAGAGTGAAGAAAAGCGCCAGGGAAGACAAAAGAAAATATTATGAAACCATGGCAAACGAAGCAGAACAAGCTGCAGGCAAAGGAGACCTCGCCACACTCTACCAAACAACTAGGCACCTATCGGGCAAACGTTCGACACAGATTAAGCCAATAAAGGACGACAATGGAAAGTCAATCACCAAAGAGGTGGAACAGAGAAAGCACTGGGTTGAACACTTCAAAAGACTTCTAAATCGTCCGCCACCTACAACACGTCCAGCAATACCAACAACGGAAGCAGAACTACCAGTGAACACTGACCCCCCGACGAAATCAGAAGTCCTGAATGCAATCAAGATGCTTAAAACTGGGAAAACACCGGGACCAGATGGAATCCCAGCAGAGGCTTTGAAAATAGACCCAGAGACAACAGCGGACTTGATGACACCACTACTGGAGAAGGTGTGGAAAGAGGGCAAAGTACCCGAGGATTGGAAGAACAGTTACTTATTCAAACTTCCAAAGAAAGGAGACTTAAGTCAATGTAAAAACTGGCGGGGAATTATGCTTCTGTCCATTCCAAGCAAGATACTAAGTCGCATCATCCTGGAGAGAATCAAACAAGCCCTAGATGAAAAACTTCGTCCGGAACAGGCTGGATTCAGGAGAAACAAATCATGTATTGATCAAATCGCCACTCTACGGATCATCATTGAACAAAGCTTGGAATGGCAGTCACCTCTCTATCTCAACTTCATCGACTTTGAAAAGGCCTTCGACAGCGTCGATCGAGAGGTCATTTGGAAACTACTTCGCTACTACGGGGTCCCATCGACAATTATACACCTCATCCAACAGTTATACGACAATGCTGCATGCCAAGTAATCCACAACGGGAAACTTACGGAAGCCTTCGAAGTGAGGACGGGAGTGAGGCAAGGCTGTCTACTATCACCAATGATCTTCCTGATTGCAATTGATTGGATAATGCGACAGACAACGGCAACCAACGAGGGAACAGGCATAAAATGGACTGACACAAAAGACTTGGAGGATCTGGATTTCGCCGATGATATATGTCTGATTTCCCATAAACTGGAAGATATGCAAATGAAAAGTAACAAGTTGGCAGAAGAAGCATCAAAGATAGGACTTCACGTGAACATAGATAAAACAGAGATGATGAAGATTCCTTGCCAACATCAACAGCAACAACAGACCACAATAAGCATAAATGGGAAGAACCTGAAAGAAACAACCTCCTTCACCTACCTGGGAAGCATCGTCTCAACTACAGGCGGAACTGACGAAGACATCAAAGCCAGAATCGGAAAAGCAAGACAAGCTTTCATTACTCTCAAATCTGTGTGGAGGTCAACAGCAATCAGCATCAAAAATAAGATCCGGATTTTCAACTCCAATGTGAAGTCAGTGCTACTATACGGATCAGAGACTTGGCGAGTCATAAAGAGCATCTCAAACAAACTT